TGTTTGTTAGTTTCAAAATTAGTTTGAAAAGGAACGAAAATGAAAAACCCATTCGTAGTTTGTGTCGATAAATAATAGTTAGCTTGAAAAGTGATTTTTATAGAGCAACAATAATATAGAACGTGCGTTTGGGGTTTTAATAAAATAAAAATTGAAGTACAAATCGAGTAGATGAAAGCGTAACTTGGGTTTTGAAAAACAAATGCTGTTGCGCGTTCGTAGCCGCTCGTTTTACCCATCCTGCCGCAGCCAACAAAGCCATGCGACGTCCATGTGTTCAGCTGTCTGTCGTGGTTTAGTTATTGACTAGCGAGCGGACTAATCCACAGCGGGGGCAGGACGTCTCCCTGCCCTGCTCTGCCGCTAGCCGACGCCGGCGACCCCGCTCGGACCCGATGCTATGCTTCGTTGCATCGCGCCAAGTCCTTTTCTGTTCGCCAACCGGGCCACGTGCTCGTGGTCGCTGCCAGCTTCGTCGCATCATCTCTACTGCACCATGAATGCCTCTGTCTGCCTCTCCGTGTCTCTGCCCCTTTTTCCCTCTTCCAGTCGAGCTATCCTTGAGCTCTGAAGCAGCGCCGCCCACCCGTCTCCCCTTCCCTTTTCCCCTCATGAGTGCGCGCATACCCCCGGTCCCACGTTGGACCCGCTGCTCCTCGACGCATCCGTGCTGCAGCGCCTAGCCGGACCATGACCTGCACACTATCCCGCAGCACGCCATGGTCGCGCCCGTCATTGCCCTGCCCCTCCCGTGTGTGCGCGGGCATGCGCAAGCTCCTTGGCCCGCGTTGTCCTACGTGAGACCGAGCTCGGCCGTCGCCGCTCGCCTCCCGCTCACCGAAGCCTGCGCGTGGCTTCACCTCGCCTCGCTCCTCCGCACCCGCCGTGGCCACTTCCACCGCCGCCACCGCGCGCGCGAGCATGCCAGCCCCGCCGGAGCCAAGGAGCTCTCCTGCCAGCGCCGCCCTCCCGCGCTCCCTTTTTGGCCCCACTGTGCTCCACACCGCGTCCGCTTCCTTCGCCTGCCAACGTGCGCGTGAACGTGCCTAGGCCCACGTCGCTCCACCTCCATGTGGTACCTCACAGCGCCACCGACGTCTCCGCGCCACCCTCCGTTGCGCCATGGCCGCCCACGCGTGCGGCCGTAGCCACTGAGTTGCGCCGCCGCAGTGTGCGCGCGTGGCCGTCGTGCGGTGCCCCGCCTCGGTCCGCGCTGTGGCTAGGCCCGGGTCCGACCGTGGTCCGCGCGTCTCCCCATGCACGCCGTGCCCGTGTCGAGCCTCATTGCCAACGCCGAGCCAGCCTCTGGACGCCGCCCACCGGTCGGCGGAATACTTCCCCCACTGTGTACTTTGTTTTGAGGTAGAAAAGAACTTGAACGCAAATAGAATATTTTATCATGTTCACTTTGCAAAAACGCTAGACTCATAGGTTTACAAATAGGGGCTTAGTTATTTTTAGGGAAACTCAGGGGCCCTTTCGCAATTGTGCCGCCGCCTTGCTTGGCCGCGTGGGCGCATTGCCAGCGTCTTGACTGGTGGGCACCGACTGTCGCCGCCATGCCACGGGCCGCGTTGGGAGGGCTGGGAGCTCGGCTCCCTTTACTTTGGGCATACTGTCTGGGTTGCCTTGGTTTGTTGGTCTAAATCATGTCTTTGGCCGTTGGGTCGAGCTCGTTGGCGCCGGTCTTTTTGAATTGTAGTGCACTTTCTAATTTAGCTTGCAAGGTAAATTTGTAAATTTAAAATAAAATTGTGTAAGTGTCCAAAAATGATGAAACCAATTTTGTTCAGTTTCTAAAATCATGATCTACCTGATAGTGTATTTTGTTCACATAAGTTCTATATGTTTTTGGGTTGCTCTAATTATTTTAAAATGTTGAACATTGTTAAAATGTGAATTTGAGGGAATTTCTGTGATAAATCGGTGATTGTATTAACTCTAAAAATTTTACAGTAAATTTCTAATATTATTAGCTTCTCAATGTAATTTTTGTAGCTCCAGAATAATTAGTTTGCTAGATAAATAATGATACCCTATTTCGAATAAAGATTAAATCGATAGAACGGAATAAAGAGACAACTTGGGTTTGTATAAATAAAACACTTGTTGGGAAATGACACATTTCTCGACGATGTTGATACATAGATTAGTACGCTAGTCATTAGAGCTAACTTGTTAGTTCGTACTATGTACTCTGTTTGAAGAGTTGTTGTTGCCTGGTTAATTAACTGTTGCATCATCTCTGCATCGCATTGCATATCATAATAGGAATGACGGTGGATCGATGGTATCAAACGGAGTAGCTGAAAACATGGTGTCAGGGATTATGACACAAAGATGGAATGCTAACTTTTGGTTATATCTTACCCAGGCAAGTCCCGGTGTATAACCCATACTTTTCTGCACTTTAAATTATATTTGTGCATTAAGTTTTAAGGAGTTGAATAAAACCCACTTGCATATATATATATATATATATATATATATATATATATATATATATATATATATATATATATATATCCTATGAGTCTTACTAGTATGATAGGGTCGTGTTGATTGCTATGCTACAGGACTCCAGTAGAAGTCGAGTGATTACCTGTCACTCGCAAGAGATATGAAATATATTACTGTATTATTATCACTTAGAATATATAAAATGGTGGAAAGGAAAATAGAGACCGGGCAGGGATATGGTTTGGGTATTGGTGGGTGTAAGATGTTGTGTCCTGCGGCCAACGGGGCATAACTTGGTTACACTATTTTTCCTGTCTATGTCGGTTAAGGACCGATCGTTGCATTGGGTTCTAGGCAGGTCACAGACTTATTATCCGGAGCACATACTTGAGTATGGGCGCAGGAAAGACTTGTTACTCTCTTGTCATGGGTTCCGGCTCTTTTCGAACCGACTGTCTAGATGAATTTTGGGTGGAGGTCCTTGCACCGTACTGAGTCCGGGACTCAGGGACAGGGGCTTGGAGTCCCAGTTTGGACCGGGATCTGGACCCCATGATAGGAGGATAGTGGGTTAGTCCTGCTTGTGCCTGGGATACAAGCGGGGCGTGTGTTTTCGGGGTACCTAGCTGGGCACATTGATTCGTGAATCGTCGGGCAATCCGGTACGGCTTGTCTACAGTCTAGTAACGTAGTAAGAACTGGAAGATGAAAGATGGTAAAATGATTCTGATTGCTTACCACCTGCTTGAAAGTAGCACATGTGCTTACATAGAATGGTTAGTTAATGAACTAATGCGACTGCTAATAAAAATCGAATATAAGGACGCACGCTTAGTAATGCTTCCTGCAGATACAATAAACCCACAAGTCAGATAGCCTTGCATATCCTTGGAGTCTTTTCTTTCCTCCTGTCGGGTAAGTCTTGCTGAGTACAATTGAGTACTCAGAGTTTTATTTTCCCCTGTTGCAGGTGACAGGTGAAGGTTAGAGCTGACTCTTACGTGTGGATTTCTTCTAGTGGGCTCAGAGAGGATTCCTTTACGCTGCGATCATAGTATTTATTTATAACTCCCACCAAATGTTTTTATAAACAGAAGTTCTATAATCTGTTGTCATAGTTTATTTATTGATACTTCATCATGCAATGAATAACTATTTATTTCCGCTGTAACTCTGATCACATATTTATATTTCGCTGTTAATTTAAATTGTTCATAACTCTGATAACATGTTCATATTCCGCTATTATAAATAATAAATATTATACTCTGATGTTACATGGAAAGTGATGTAAGAAATGTAATAATGATCTAAGAATGTTGTAAGCTTTATTCTCTCGTTTGTGATCCTGATGAAAAAATATGGATTTTCGGGTTCTCCCTCGAGGTGTGCCAAACGGAACCGTGTAATTTAGTGTCCTCCCTTGAGTACTTAGTGTCTAATAAAAGACGAGTACTCTTGGGAGACATTAGATTAGAAGACGAGTACTATTGGAAGACATTAGATTAGACGGTTACCACACTCCACTCCCTCCATGCCTCCGCCCTTGTGCGCCGACACTGCGAGCCGCTAGATCGTAGACACCCCTGACAGCAGTTTCGCTAAAACTAGGACATGGCTAGCAACAACTACAGTTATCAGGTTTTGGCGGACATTGCTGGAGCACACTCATCCAGAGAGTCGGGATCAGATCACTAAAAAGGTGAAGGAGAATCAACCTAGATTAGATCACAGAGAAAGAGAAACCGAAGGACACTAGAACTCAGAACAGCTACCAAGACCCACTGGAGTCGCCTGGGAGACCCCTGGTGCCAAGACCAGTACGCCTTTGTTTTCCGAAAAATGATAAGTAAGGCGTTCAAGTTCTGGCAATGGAAAACAATATTTCCGTCCTTGTAATGTCTACACATCTGTCCTCTAACAATGGTTTATATATGCTCATTAATTTACTTTGTTAAACCACACGACATAGTCTTAGGACAATGAGCAGCATAAAATTAATGAAATGGCACAACTAATAAGAGTGCTAATCCATGAATTGCTACTCATGTTACCGAAATCCGTAACATACCACTCCGAAGGCAGTTTCCCTAGTGCAGTGAGGATTACAACTGAGGCGAAATCAAATCATGTTGGAAGTAGAGGTGGGGTTTCTTTTGCCACGGAAGTAATGACCTGAAAATCAATTTAAAAAATGACCTGAAAATCAAGCACGCTTGACTTGTGCTTATATGCCATCTTCCCAAATATTTGTTATTGTACCTATCATGTCTTCTTTGAGGAAACAAATTACAAACGAGGGCGGAGCACGCCCAGTCGCCCACGTCCCACCCAGCGTTCGTTCAAAAATGCCTGGGCAAAGAGCCGGCAAACGGCCGCAATTACAAAGCACAGGCAATGCCGGTTACCGTGACCCGGTGTGGAGTACAAGGCTACAAGCAGGATGGCTACATCTGTAATTGCTGGTGCTGGTACACATATAAACACACTAGTTAGGTTATTGTCAGGCAACGACCGGCACTGTAGGGAAGACAAAAACAATGGCGACGACTCCTGCCAGTGGCGGCGAGCTTTCCATCTCAGTGGAGCCCACGGCGCACGCGGACGCTGCCGGTGGCAAGGTGCAGCAGAGCGAGAGCTGCAGTGCCGACGCGGTGAGGAGGAAGCTGAAAACTCTGAATAAGATCGTGTTCTGCGTTGCGTTCCTGGAGTGGGCGGGCAACGCTGCCGGAACTCTGGCCTCCATTTGGGCCACTGTGGTATTGCTTGGCGGGTTCTGCTCTCTGCTGATCCGCGTGGATTTCTGGTTCGCCACGGTCATGGTCTTCATGGAAGGCTCCAGCTGGTGCGTTCCTCGAACTACAACTACACATGCATGTATAGATCTCGAAAAAGGCTTTGGCATCTCAAGATTTCTCACCAAAATTCATGGCTACGCCGCATGTCAGGGTTTTCATCCGCAACGATGCCTCGGTCAACCAGCGGTTAATATTCGGCTCCACGCGCGCATTCAGATGGGAAGATTTCTCTCTCCCTCGCATGTTAGTGGGACAAACGTCTGGGAAATTAAGTGTGGTGTTCATAGGTGTCGGCGTTGCCTTAGTTCCCGAGTTTCGGCCGGAAATTGCTTCAAGCATATTGAAGGTGGCCTTCCTGCTTATTGCCAGCCAGTTGCTGACTCGACTACAGAGGGGCTCTTTTGTTCACACTGTCCTCTTTCTTATGGGGATTGCTTGTGTTAGTGGAGCCATGTATGGTTATGTCATAACAGCACCGCAAAGATCCAAGACATCCAAGCATGATACGCTCGCTTCCCTAAAAGCTACCGGGTTAGCTTTTGCCTGGCTATTCGGAACTATGCTTCTGGTAGTGCTGGCCTGTCGAATCATGTCCTGTTTACCATCTATGAGAAATTCCATACCGCTGCTTCGCTTTAAGATCTTTATAGCCTCAGCCTTGGCATGTCTGCCCTTCCTCCAAGCAACATTAGCTTCTTATTACAGATACTTGAGCATATCAGTCGCTGTAACGCTACTAATGGTTAGCAACGAAGTGTTTTGGGGAGCAGATCACGATGATGATAGCTCCTCGGGGACTTCGGAGCGAAACAACAATAGCCCTCCAGAGACAGAGACCTCGGAAAAAGATAGTAGCTCATCCTGCTGTGGCCTCTTCTTGCAGATCGTCGAAACAATCCTGCCCATACTCTTCTTTTGGAGCGTGATGTTCCCATTACCTGGAATATCCGTCTCCCTTGCGATATCATTCTATATGTTGTTCTCGGTGACAGCAGGGGTGCTGATTTCCAACTTGCAGATCCCAGTGGCACTCCTGCAGGTTCTGCATTCGATTTTGCGCCTTCGCAGCCTGCTAGGTCATCACCGCCATGACTATACCCCCCTGCCTGATGGGGCAAGCCCAAACTTGGTGCCATCCATAGTACTCTTCTTCATGCTGGAGCTATGCCAAGGGTCATCCTATATCCTGGCAGTCATCCTCGGGTTCATCTCCTTCCTCCGTCGCATATCGCTTGCCCGTGACTTGGGATTCAAACAAGAGTGGGGAGCCAAAGCTATCAGCCTATACTTCCGCCAAGCCTACCTGGCACGCATGGAAACGGGACTTTTTTTTCGTCAAGAAGAGAAAGAGAAATACACACCCAGCCTCGACCTCGAGAGCTTCGCCATCCAGTCCCTTGGCTGCACCTCAAGCCATGAATTGCAAATTGTTGGGCTGCGGATTCTCGACAACAGCCTGCAACGAGGTGACTCCGAATCCAATAAGAAGCTCATTACAGAAATAGTCAAAGATGAGAAAAACATCATCACTAATATCATAGGGCTTATCAGCTGCTATCTCACCGTCGAGGAAAACAGTGGTGGCCGTGGCCTACAGCATCAGCATCACAAAAAAACGATGATAGAGCAGATGGAACAGCATCACAAAAAAAGGACAGAGCAGATGGAAGTGGCACGATTGTGTTTGGAGTTTGTGAGGACGATTGCTATCAACGGTGGGAAAATTAGCGCAAGGTTTCGCAAGGAGCTGTCGGAGAACCCCTTCTTTCTGGACAGCCTCGATCTTATCTTGAACTTTTGGGGCTGGCGAGTAGATGATCTACGGGAGCAGGCGCTGGGTATAGTAGCAACGCTGGCAGTGGATGAGGCTGCAAGGAAGGAGATTGGGAGCAACCAATCCATTATTCCCAATTTGATACATGAATTTGAGATTGAGCCCAGCATGTACGATGATCGTTCATCACTACGAACGGCTGCAGGGGAAGCACTGGCAAATCTTACAATAAATAGCGCGGACAACTGCTGGGCTATCTTGTTGGCGGACCCAGAGCATAATCTTTTCACGAAGCTCATCGACATGCTTGATGATGAGTACTACATGTGTGTTGCAGCAAATCTACTCCATAATCTTTGTGCAAACTCCAGAGACATGCTGATCGACCTTGGTGCAAACGTGAACCTGGAATCTGCCCTGTCAAAGGTAAGCGTCTCATCAATATATACTTAGACAAAACTGCTAGCTTATTTTTCCTTCCTCGTTTATCCTTCATTAAATCCACTGGCTCGTGCATCTGCATTTTTTAGTATAAACATATCTACATATATGTGTGGATCAATCAATATTCATTATGTTAGCTTCGTTTTCATTATTTAACAATGTCATTATCATACCTTGCAGGCAATGGCAATTATCAGGACTAATAAAGAGGGTAAACAATTGGAGGCCGCACTCTGTGTCGCTTCACAAATTGGTTATGTGATCCCTGAATACGTTGCCCAGGAGCTTGATCCCGATACCGATTCTGCTGCAGCGGAACAACTTGTAACAAAGCTTGTGGATACTCTCAAATCCAACAGGGAGCCATGTCTTGAGTACCCAAGGATGAGAAGGGTCCTTGTTGAGATGGTAATATCAATGGTGGAATTGTGTCCTGGATACATAAACATCTTCAGAGAAAAGGGCGCCAAGGATGTCCTGGACATGGTCAAAGCAACCCCATCTAGGTTGGAAAAATACAGGGTCTTCCTCGATGGTGAAGGAGTGGTCCCGGAGAGCTTAAGTATGCGTGACCTAGTTGATAACGCCAAAAGGCTAATTTATGAGGCAACCCCAACTCCTGGTAGCCAGACATAAAAATGTATTTGTGTTGTATTAGGAAACGTGCCCGTGCATTGCTGTGGGTAAAATAAATGGGGGGACTACCAAAATTTAAAAATAATTGTATGGGCGATACATTCACCGTTCATGCAAATTTAGTCCTTACCAACAACATGTGGGAACTTGAGTGAGATATTAAACATGGATATGAGCAGTGACTCACTCCTATCCTTATCTCCACGACGCTCGACGACTGCATCTCTTCTTCTTTCACAGCCGCAAACACACCTTTCCTGCTTCGAATTTTTATTTTATTTTTAACACAATTTTTAAACTAATTTTAAAACTAACACTGTTTATTTTTTTTAAATCTAATACTTTTGGCCGCGCCTATTCGCACGGCGCGGTGATTTAACGCTGCCGCGCCATGCATGGGGGCGCGGCAAGGCTGCGTACATGGCAGCAAACAGGGCCCCTGACGGTGCGGCAAGGCTGACGCGCCAGCAGCCATGGCGCGGCGGTCAAAGCAGTAGCAAAAGGAAGGTTTAGGCACTTCTGTTATGTCATCGTGTCGGTTTAACGAATAGGTCACAGGAAGTTCGACATAAGTTCATCGCAAGTTCATCGCTCGAGCACTGTCCCAAGTTCATCGCAAGTTCGACATAAGTTCAGCAAGTCAAAACTACGACACAAGTTCATCAATACATAAGTTCGACATTACTCGACATACTACATGTTGCATCAGTATATGGGTGTCCGAGTACAAGTGCAGCATGTCATCCTAAAGAACTCATACGACCCAGGAGTATATGGTGACCGCGGATGTCGCTGCCTCTTCGGACGTGAAGGCAGGACATTAGGGGTGAACCCAATGTCGGTACGGTCTCGCTGGTGGTACACCCGGCGGTACTACTGAGTGTAACTAGGACCCTGCAATTTCAATATAGGCACTATTACTTACAATGTTTAAGTAATTGTGATGTATATGGCGAAGGGTTGTTTCAAGTACCTGTGCATCGAACTGTGTAGGAAATAGTGCATCACCAAGCTGAGACATCCCAATCTCATTGTAGTCCTCGTCCTCGTCCTCATCATCCTCGTCCTCCTCAATGTCGTGCTCCGCAAGACCCTTGCCGCGATTGCCGGGAGTACGAACATAAGAGGTCCCACCAGCCATCGTGTCGGAGGAAGTTGCTCGTGTCGGCATAGTGCTCAAGCGTAAGGAACTAGATAGGCCCAGGTCATAGGGCATCTCCCACGGAGTATCTATGCAGCTGAGCTTCTATGCCAGCTTCTTGCAGCTCCTCCTCGCTTTCTACAAAAAAAGAAAACACGGATGAATGAGTCATGGGAACCATTTAACCACTGTCATGTCTTTGAGAATAGAATGTACATCGACGAAGATGTGTAGAATGCCGTGTGGCTCCCCTCTGGTCTCATGAAGTCGCACAGCTGCTTCGTAGGACAGACTTGTCAACTGTGATGCCTGCATACACAAGCGAGCTAAGTTCGTACCACTACAATTCATAGGAATGCCAACGTGCAGTTGTATTGAAATTCAAATTTCTTTCCACGTATCTCTGTAGCGAGGCTCTCTAAAGCTGTGTCTCCATCCTTGTCGCCTCATCGTACGCATCAGCGATCTCATCCTCGTCTTCGTCCTCATCAATTGGCTTGTTAGTGTAGGGGGCCTGCATATATGTGCGGGTACTCCTATGCAACCATTGGAGGTAGCGGTCGAAGTTGTGTTGGTCGTGCGGCGGTATCTCGGCGATTAGGACCCTTTGCCGACTAGCCCATTCGTGGATGAACGGGGCGTGCGTCACGGCCCAATTCTTCTCCTTGTACCTGTTCCTTCGATCATACCTACAAGTTTAACGTAAGTTAGTGGTTGTATGTATGCACATGACTGCTAAATTATTATGTTTTAGTTGTTGCACCCATGTAACTTTCTATTGGTCGTGTACAATGGCGGTGGGCATGGTTGCAATCTGTAGAACTGCCTGTACACCCTTATATGGTAGTGCATCTCGACCATGTGGAAGAAAATTAGTGGCCTGTTAAAAAGCCACTCGTCCGACTCTTCCTTAGTGCGAGGACTCAGGTACCCCTCTAGCTCGAATCTGGACCACGGATACCAATTCACCTGAAAGTTAGGTAACTACAGTTAGTGTTTTGGAACAATAAAAAAGCAAGAACACCGAGTAGTGGTATCAAAGTGGTCGTTACCTGGTGTTGTGTCAGGACATCTAGCGTGTCCAAGTACTGCCTGTATCGATGCTTCGGGTTACCTCTAACTACCTCCGCTTCTTGCTAGACGTACAGAGCAGTCGGTCCTACATCCACGTGATTCCATGCATGCATTGAATAGGATAGTCAGTTATAAGTGCGGCATCAAGTTTGAGGAAAATAAAAAATCGATGCACTTACAGGTAAACCGTGAACAACGGGCCTCCCGACTGGCCATCGCTCCCAACACCAAATCTGTAGTAGGTGGGAACAACCACCTAGGTTGGCACCTCCTGTACTGCGTCGGTAGGCAATGTAGAGCTGACGATAGATCCATGCTAGGACCGCGGTGCCCCAGCTATACTGTAACACCCCGGTGTTATAAAAGCATTTAGGCACTGCAAATCATGCATATTATACATCATCAAGCATCCTAATCATACATGCCTAATCATGTAAATAATAACTGAAATAATGCTTTGAAACATATGAAACATGCTCGTGAAACATGAATGTTGCATACACTTGTTTAGAGTTATTTTCCCTAATTATGCTTGCTAGGCTAATAAAACATGTTTGACTATAATTGTAAATCATCTAGAATTATTTAGCACAATTTTTGGAGCAAAGTTTGTATTCAAACTTTTGACAAAATATGCTTTTGAAATTATTATTGAAAATGGTAAAAAATCCTCCCTATTTAGCTTTTACTGCCCAATTCAAAATCTATGCAAAATTTTTAGTTGGTCCCTAAAAGCAAAGTTGTAGAGAATAAATTTTTAAGCAACTTTATTTTTGGGCCAAAGTTTGAAACTGCTTTGAAAAAGTTCAAAAATTCATTTGAATGAATTTGGGAGAGAAAAGAATTTGAAAAAGATCATTTTTCCTTGAATGGGCCTCGCGCCTCGCTTTCGGCCCAGCCGCACAGGCCGGCCTGGCCTACCTCCGCACCGAGCTCCTGCTCCCGCGCGCCGCGCCCGTTCGCCGCGCACTCGCCCGACCGCGCCAGAGCGCGCACGCCGCGTGGCGGCCATGCGCCGGCGAGCATGCCGCGCGGCCTGCCCCGCGCCCCTCCTATCGCGCCTACACCTGCCGCGCCGCGTCTGCCTCGCCCTCCTCCATCTCATTTTGTCTCTCACTCGGCAGCCGCAACGGCAGCAGTGCACGCTCGCCTCCACCACCGCCGCGCTGCCTCGCCGGAATTGACTCGCTCGGCCACCACTGCTCGCCGTAGGCCGCTCCATCTCGCCAGCAGCTCCGCCTCCACCTCGCGCAGCTTGTGCTCGTCCCCGTTAGACGTGGTAAGGCTCGAGTCGGCCGCTATTGCTCATCGGAGCATGGCTGTTCTCGCCAGAGCAGCACGGCTCCGTGGATCTCCCCTTCTCGCTCCCTTTTTCCTTCCGTTTTCGCGCGCGTTAGCACCGCCTTGCCCCCGCGAACCTCGTGCATGCCTCCCCGTGCCCTGCCGTGGCCAGAGTCGGCGTACCGCCGACGAGCCGTGTCACCGCTCCGCCATGCGTGCCGTCAAGCTCCCTTTCGAGCTCCTCCAGTGCTCGTTCTTGGTGCATCGGGTCTGCCTCGTTGCGGGGAGCCCCTGGTGGTGACCTCACCGCGAGCGAGCTCACCGGCGGCGAAAGCCGGCCGGTCAGCGACGGCCCCTGCTCAGCTCCGGCTGACGCATGGGCCCGGATTGACCACGGGTCCCGCCTAGCAGCACCTCTGGGTGCACTGCATCGGGTACACCTAGCAGTTTTGGGTCGGTGGAATTTCAATTTTAAAGAAAATGATTTCAAAAATTGATTTAAAAAGCTTGTAAAATGTATATCTCGAGTTATATCGCTCCAAAATTTATGAAACAAATTTTGTTGTGTTTCTTGTCACCAGATCTACATGATAAAAATATTACATGTCATTTTTGAGATACTTTAATGTAGGGCTTTATTTAATTCTTGATATTGCTGATATCTTGTGAAAGGTTTAGTAAATCCTATATGTATTAGAAAATTATGATTCCAATTTGGTTGATCTATTCTTGAGATGTACTTTCTATGAAAAATTATATGCCATGCATGTCCTATAGAAAAATTATGAGGTGTAGTTCAAGTGCCTTTAATGGCTGATTTTTGTTATTTTTGCTAGAGAGCAAAAATTGTATAAAACATGCATGTGATAATTTTTGTACAGTTATTGTATGCTATGAAGATCATGGGAAAAATACTAAATCTGTTGTTTGACACTTTTCATAATACAAAGTATTATCATGCTCATCTACCTTGCATGCAAGCATATTCATTGTGTTCATTTCATCCGATGCACCTTTTGCATAAGCACTTACGCACCTGCATCATACAGGATCGCAAACCGAGAGCCCGGTCATCATACCCGAGGAGCAGCTCGAGGTGCAGCCGCAAGAAGTGACCGGAGCAGATGAGGAGGACGTTGAGGAACTTCTAGAGTGCCCCGATCACCGCCCGAGCTCCTTCGAGAGAGGCAAGCCCCGGAGCATTTTCTCCCCGATTTGCTATTATTAATTAATGCTTTACTTTAATTGATGCATTACGTTCAGGAGTTGTTTGCAACCGTTGCTGCATTATACCTTGTTTACCTTTGTTATACTATATCCTTGTTACCCTGGTATCCACAGTCGAGTCAATGCTTAGCTGGCTTAGACCGGTAGAAGTCGAGTGATTTCCTGTCACCTGCGAGCTATAGGTGGTTACCTGGATCTGCTCGGATAACTATGTAGTCATGGTATAACTAAGTGTTAATTTGAAGTTGAGACCGGACGGAGACTTATAGGGTTTTGG